ACTTGACGGTAAAGCGAAATTAGTAGTAAATGATCCGCCTGTGATACGAAACATTGAAACCTCCGTTTCCACGTCAGAAGAAGCACAAAGGAATGTATCTGAAATGCTAACATCTCCAACACAAAATAATGCATCTGAATTCTCAAAATCTTCTCCCAAGAAGGCATTACAAGATGCGTTCAATACTGACTCAAACCTGAATCAGCCTGTTTTATCAAAAGTTTCAAGAAAATCACATTCATCTAATGCCAATGCAAATAAGAAAACATTACAAGATGCGCTCAATACTGACTCAAATCTGAATCAATCTGCTTCATCAAAATCAAAAGTCTCGAGACCACCACATTCGTCTAATGCCAATACAAATAAGAAGACATTACAAGATGCGTTCAATACTGACTCAAATCTGAATCAATCTGCCTCATCAAAATCAAAAGTCTCGAGACCACCACATTCATCTAATGCCAATACAAATAAGAAGACATTACAAGATGCATTCAATACTGACTCAAATCTGAATCAATCTGCTTCATCAAAATCAAAAGTCTCGAGACCACCACATTCATCCAATGCCAATACAAATAAGAATACACTACTTAATCATTCATCAGTCTTTAAAGAAACAACAGACGCAGGGAAACCAAAAAGAAAAAAAATTCATCACATAATTCGCAAACAAGAACATATAAAAAATTGCACTACCAAATTGTCAAATACTATAGATTTAATTTCAAATCAAATACAACCTGTATTATTTCCACTTATTCAAATTCCTCAAGATGATTTGCAAATAACTGAGGTATTAACAAGTTGCCTTGAACAAACTGATTTTCAAACTGTTCTGGCTGCTGAACGTGTTTGTCATTTGTGGAAACGTGCTGGTAAGATAATTTACTTTATACAGTATAACGATAAGTTATATATGTGTAATTTAACTGATAAATTATATCTATATTTATATTTATATTTATATTTATACGTATATTTATATAAAAAGCATTGTTAGCATGGAGAGGACTTTGCAAACGAAATTTTAACGGCATATTACTAAATAATGCACTGTGTCAGTATCCTAATCCGTCCAATTCATTCAAAGATTATTATAAACGAAGATTAGAAATTCACCGTTACAATATTACTTTGTTATCTCGTAGTTGGATTGGACAACTTTACGAAAATCTTGGCCATTCACCTAAATTTATCATTAATAATAATGAATTCATTTATGGAATTCATCAAAATCTATATTCTAGTAACGATCACCCATATCAATTATTTATAACTCTGAGATTTTGTGTTGCTAGATTTTATTATTATACTCAATGTGGTGGCTATACTGGATTACTTGAGGATATACCTTGTATTTTAGACGTGAATGAAATCATTGAAGAAATTTGGAAAATTAGATTGGTAAATGGTGATGAATTGGTAATTATTGGTGCAACAGGTGAAGTTATTGGGCATGACTTTGATAATATTCATAATAATGACAACACTGAAGAACCGTCAAGAATCAACACTGAAGAATCGTCAAGAATCGGATGGTGGTCCACTTTAGATAATTGGATCGATACGGATACAGAACTACATGACGATCAAGTTAGGAAGGCGCAATTAAGAGTAGATTGGGCAACTTACATTCGTTCCAAACCTCAGTTTACATCAAATAACAATAAAGAATCTATATTGCCGTCAACAATTGATAATTCTCCAATCTTTTTAATAAATAAAGTTATCACTGAAAATGTAAATTATCCAAATTCAATCCATAAATCCATAACTTTTGAAAGTAATCCTTTAGAATATATCTATTCAGCAAGGTACGTCCTTTCATCTGTCGAGCCTTTTACAGTCTCCGGAACTTTGCAACCCAAACCGCATTGGAAAGTTGCTCGTATATTGGCATTTAAACATTCATTACTAGAATCCGTTGAGTCAATAAAATTGCCAGGAGAAAAGGTTTTTGGAAAAAAGTTAAATGAAAATATATGCTTTATTCAAACTCCTTCCAGAGGTGTGTTTGTGTTGAAAGTAACTGGGCAAATAATAGGAAATGAGGTAATTTGAATTAATATTTATAAAGCATTTTGTTTTTTAATTAGCTCTAACAATATAGTTATATGTGAAATTTTAATTTATATAGGATGATGGAATTAATTTTATGTGGCAGATGTTATTAGGGTGTGGATATTATGGTGAAGTTATAATTGATACAGAAGATAATAAATCTTTTCAAAATGCAAGGTTAGAATACTTTAAGGATCAACTAATTGATTAATCATAGCCATAGTAATAGTTATAAAACATGTCTCAAATACTGTAATGTACTTATTAGTTAAATAAATTGAATATTTAATTAAAGTAGTGTTAGTGTTAGTTTACATATACTGTAGCAAGGTTAGAATTAAATCAAGTCTTATAAAATTACCTTTTCGAATTTTTATTAATATATACCTCAAAATAGGTTTAGATATAGTTTCTTGTATTTTTACTTTTTTTGTTAAACTAAATAAATAAAAAAAATATACTTTTAGTAATAGTTAAAGCAAAAATATTTTTATAAAATAAAACTAGTAGTTTGATTAGCCTAATATATACAGTATAGTCACCTTCTTTAAATTCAACTTACAGTATAAAGACCAGATTTTTTTTTTGTATCTAAAAAAAAAAATTGTATTTACAAAAATCTGGTATATAGTATTATATATTTGGTTTAGAATTAAAGAATTCAATTTAAGATTATATCTAAAAAATCCAATTATATTACGTATAGCTTAAAAAATATTTAACTGGCAAAATTATTAATATAATAATCAAAGTTGGTCAAATCTGTTACTGTAGTTAGCCAAATTGGTCTGGTCAAACTTGACTATTAACTGGTCTAGCCCAACTCTAATAATATACTATATATATAAAAACATTTACATATTTTTAATTCCACAAAATTTAATCTTTAGTATAAAAATAGCAAATTTATAAATAGTTAGATTAGAGTAAGAGTTAGAGTTTAAATTAGCTCAAAATAGTTAGCTTTCATAATTCTATATTGCCTCACCTATACCTGATACTAAAGAAGATCCAATTACGTATATACTGTATTAGATAGTAGATAGGGGACGTCCATAATTTACGTTAAACCAGCATTGTTATAGAGATCTTAAAGATAATACAAAAATAATACTACATGAAATTATCTTCAAGGTCTCTATTTTTATACAATACCGTACTGGTTTAACGTAAATTATGGATGTCCCTAATATCAATAAAATTTTGAGTAATTTTTTTATATTCAAAAAAATATCTAAAAATAGCTATTTCGTGATATATAGCACTATATATCAAATATAAAGAAATACACCGAATTGGATCATATTTCAACGGCAATAGTGACACCTAATAAATACCGCTGTAAAAAATTGGCGTTGAATATAAAAATAAATGCCATAGCTGGTAGTAGTAGAAGAATGTGCAATCATAGAAATTAAAATATAGATTATCAAATGATCTGTCAATTTGATGAACTCAGTTTCAAACCTACGCCCGTTCTCAGATATTTTTTAATAAAGAACCTCCGCTATCCATGACGTTAATAACTTATTGTTCACGTGAAAAACACAGCACGTATTTTAGTAACATGAAAATTACTATATCGGGGATGTAAAACTTTCACCTGAGCCTACTTTTTTGATACACCTAAATGTACCCCAAAATTTTAGACTAACGTCTTTTAGACCGCCGCGCTTAAATCGACCAATGGGATTACAAGTAAGATTCTAAAGAATTTTTCAAAAAAAGCTCGAGGTTTTCTTGATCGAAACTCGATTTTCTATTATGCTAAATGTTTAACAAAGATTGTAGAGAAAGAAAACTACGATCCCAAAAGTGGTAATATCACCAAGATTGGTTCAGTAGATTGAAAGTATTAAGTAAAAAATTTTACGATTATTTAAAGAATTCAAAGAAACTTTGAAGAATCGCGAAACTTTTTTTACTCATATCTTGTGATCTTACTATGGTGCAGGACATCTAGTCACATCACAAAATAATTGCTTACAATAAAAGTTTAATAACTTTTTAACTAAGAATGTTTTTTAAAAAAATCTTTCTATAGCTATATTATTAAAAACCTAAAGAATATTGCTATAGAGAGTTTTTTTAAAAAAAGTCTTTTGTTTAAGAGTTATTTTACTCAGGATTTTAAAAATTTCAGCACTATTATAAAAAAATTAAAATTAACTATAAAAAATTCAACCAATCATCTTCATTTTTATAAGTAATGATCTGCAAAATTTTCAGCACCCGTGATGTCTTTAGATGTCCTGCACCATACCATTAGAATTTTAATTTCTTTCTCTACAACTTTAACTAGAAGTTCAAGTATGATTGGCATAATAAAAAAATTAAAAAAACTTCAAGCTTTGTTATAAATTTCGTTATTACCGTAAAGTGCCAACTATTGTATCCGGATATTTACAATGTCTTTGAGATGTACCCGGGGTACCTAAGTAGGGGGGATATTGTATTGATCAGGGGTATAATTCCAGAAAATAATGTCTTAAGCTGTACCCAGGTACTTAAGTAGAAGAATATATTGTACGAAAATTGTACCCCGGGTATTCCCCAGTACCTCACAAATCATCACAGGGTATATCTCATAGGGGGATCTACCGTATGGCACTTTACGGTATCTTACGTGCAATCCCATTGGGCGATTTTAAGTGCGGCGGTCACATGACTTTTCAAAATCGGCATATCTCAAAAACGTAATTTTGGGGGTATATCAAAAAAGTAGGTTCAGGTGTATCAAAAATGAAAGTTTTGCATCGGGGATAGCATTGAAGTAACGCTTAATTTCGGTGTTTTCAAGTCCGTACTTTGATTAAAGGTCAACACCCAAAATGCGCAAAAATTACATCTACGTTGGTCGTGTTGTTATAAAATTTATTATAAAATTTATTAAATGGATTATTGTAACTTACGCGGCAACCGTGTTTTTTATAATGCTACTCGCCAATTTTATCCTTCCGACACCATCACCTATCTCACCACGCGTCGACCTCAAGATTCTCAAAGTTATGCCGAATGAATTTAATGAAAGTAGGGAAATTTACGAGTCTGCACTAGTGGAAATGAATGTTGATGCCGGTAAAATTCTTTGATTTTATATTGATTAAATTAATTAAATACCGTTATTAACTTTATTTGATAAATTAATCAGATTTTACGCCACTTTTCACTTTTAATACGCATTCAATATTTGTATCATTAATAGTAGAATATGAGACACCTACTCATGTATGATTAATGGTTATATTTCATATATTTATTGTAAGTCCTTATATTGATTATCTGTTATTGAAAAAATATAGACTCGTAATCAGATTGCGTTATGGTCATTCATAATACGAAACCGAACCTCTGCCATTCTACAATTGCATCAAGAGATAAATACATTCAATGACATTACTCCAAGTTTCAGGTATGATGTATCTTTTTGTATTTGTCGCGATAATAAATATTATAAATATTAATGCTTTTCTATATTTTTTGCAGAGGTGTGAATGGCACATATATGATGGAATGGGATATTATACCAAGGCTTGGTGTTTTACAACACGGTCGCGTTCATCAAGCTGATGCATTATTTACATTTCCTAAATTGCATATGGTATGGAACCTAGTAAATATGTGCTTAATAAAATGGAATCAGCACTTTACTTAGACATGACAATTCTATTATCTTTAACGATATCATTATATGATGCATTTATTTCATGCGTTGAACAAAAAGTTTACTATTCCTTTCATTAATTACAATCCTTATAAAAAATAATGGTACGTTAATTTAATTGTTTGGTTTTTTTTATATATATATATATAATTTATGCTATAATTGAGCACGTTTCTCCTTTAATATTAGATGAATCTTACTTTGTAAATTTTAGAAACCCCAGTTTTTATCTTGAAAAATGCTTTTACCCATCATATCGATATTAATCATTGTATATATCATACTATAATATTTTACTTATGACTCATTATAACGCATGTATATTTGATTACAGGATTAGAGTAATTTTAATATTAGATAAGAGCATAATTAATCAATAATCACGTGTATTTTATCATCATTTTCATTTGCGCTAATAACGATCAACAAAAAAGTATTATAGTGATTGAGTAAATATTTGTTTCCAAAAATTTAGGTAAGAGATTTTAATTATGCAATTATTAATTGTTAACGTCTATAATATTTTTAATTCGTCCAAATGCATAGGGTTAGTTGGACTATTATATTAATTTAAACAGGAAATTCATTTGCAATTAGTCGTGTAATATAAGAATATTAATAGTTGATAATTTTTTACTAGTCGAATTAAAAATTTTTTCTTAACAACTAACAAACAAAATTTTACATGTTATATACGTATTTTCGCGCGGAGTGTAATTACAAAATGTGGCACACATTATTTATGCTCATGAGCGTTATTACGCGTAAATGCTGTAATTATAGGCATACCTAATATTTCTAATATTTGTGTGTGCCAAATTTTTATTGGTTATTTGGGAACTCTATAATTTTTAAGACGGATAGATCGTAAATGCTAGTTTTTGCTAACGTTATAAACGTTATATAAAAAAATTTGAATTGGCAAATTTATTATTATTATATTTTTATATTATATAATTATTATTATTATCTGTTATGTAAATAAATATATACAGTATACATTTAAATTTAAGCACTTTTTTTTATTATAATATATTGCATTTTATTTAAAGCTAGCTTTTTTTGGCGTAGAATTTTATTAATTTTTTTGAACAATAAATGCCTTTAAAGGTTTTATTTTAATACACCAATAAAAGCTATATATTCTAATTAACGTCACACTGTATTTTATCATTATTATTATTACGTATATATTATTATATACAGTATTTATTTAAGGTAATTGCCGTTTGTTCACTAGTGTACACACACGAGGGTATTGTTGTTCCTCAAAATTTCGATTATGAAACCATCTTTTGGTTTCTAACAAAAAAATTCCTTTGGTATAACTAACCATCGCCCGATCCCTAGCCATAAGTAAGGTATAATTTTTCGGTTGTACTGTACGCACGTAAAAATTTTGATTGATATCTGATATGCTACACGGATTTGCCACATATACGTATAGTGTATAGTATATAATTAGTTTTTTCCTTTATTTATTATTAATCTATAAAGCAGACAAATTTGCCTACGTACTAACTTTAAATTATATTTAAAAAAATTTTAATACATACCGGTACGTATAATTTTAATTCTAAATTTCAGTTAACCATTTTTTATTCAAAAAATATTAATCACGTCAATTGATAACATAAAACGCATAATTGATAACATAACGACTGAGATAACGCAATAACACATAACGATTGCATATTAATTAACCAATAAAATTCAAATTATTAAAGTGCATCAAGAACGTAACTTAAATTACCAAAAATGAAACTTTGCCACTTTAAATCTATTGGTCGATACCATAAATTTTTTGATATTCGTTTGCCATGCATTCCATCAAAAAATGCTATTTCGACATTCGACACAAAGAATAAAATTATCATTTTTAAACAAATGCGGCTCTAATCCACAAAGATTTTTATCAGTTACGCAGCCTATTGCATCAAAAATAGGTCGTAAACTTATTAGATACCCTCCAGAGGTTTTAATTATCCATGACCAGACACCAATTACTCAACCACGCGTTAAGGCTGATTTAAATTCTACAACTTTAACAATATCAGGACCATTAGGTGCACATTCGATGCCGCTTAAACCATATATACATCTCCAATTTTATGAATCAAAAATACCTTATGTAAAACCTGAAGATAGAAAACCTATAACAAATGAAGATGATTTTATTGACGAAAGTGATTTTGATAAAAAACTTCGTGTTTCGGTTCAACATCCTGAAAATAAAGAACAAAAAACGATGTGGGGTACAACTAGAGCTTTAATCGCGAATTACATTAGAGGTGTTTCAGAGGGTTACAGGGTTTCACTGAAATTTGTTGGTGTTGGATACAGAGCTAGTTTAGAATCCGATGGCAAACTTTATCTTGAAGTTGGCTATGTTAATCCTGTTGTAATGGAAATTCCACCCGGCCTCAAATGTATCGTACCAACACCGACCAAGATCATTTTGAGTGGCACTGATAAGCAATTAGTGTATAGGTTTGCAGCACAAATAAGAGAACATAGAAAACCAGAACCTTATAATCAAAAAGGTATTTTCGTTGGAGATGAAACCATTCAAAAGAAGACGAGCAAGAAGAAATAAAATTACAAGTCTCTAACATTACATTATAGAACTTTATCAATAAACGTACATTATACAATATATAATATAATAACAAAAATAATAACGCAATTGATAAATTTATCGCTACTTATTATTTAATTATTATGATAATTTAAAAATCGCGAATTTTTCTCGGTATTCGGCTAAAAATTAAGATAACGATAAAGTTTATCTTGTGTCCCAGTTTTGGCGGTTACACGACAGTTAAAGCTTATTATGTTCCTTCAAAAATGCCTTCGGCTGAGGACTAACAATAAAGGACAATTTCCTCAACTAAGAAAAATGAGAAAAATGATAAAATTTTCGTTCGTTATTCTTTTGGCCACCATATTAACGGTTTTGGTTGCTGGTCTGCGAATCAAAATCCAAGATTCCATTGACTTGACTTATAGTTCTGAGTTCCAGCTTTCCAACTTGCAAAATGAGGAGAAAAGATTGATTCAAACAAGTCCATTCAAGTCAGAATGGATGACAGAAGAACAAGTTTGGGGCTTGATTAGAAACAAAATAAAATTCATGGACATTACAGACTACAGTTCTTTGGGAACACATTATAAAACTTTTAAAAAACGCGGTAAGTTTCGTTGTTATTCATTGAGGAGCATTGTGTATTTTGTACAAATATAACTAAATGAACTAAACATTATTAAATAAACTTTTTTTTGTATATAGTATTTCCAGTTAATCCTGCCTTTGAAAATGAAGTTGTGCCTTTAATAAATAAACTTACCACCAAATACATGCGAAAAAACCTTGAGAAATTTACTTCTTTCCGTAATCGATACTATCGCTCTAAATATGGCGCAGAATCCTCTCAATGGTTATATGATCAGGTTGTCAACATTGTTAAAAATGCGAATTATTCGGATGCAATTTTATCAGCTAAGCAATTTACGCATAAGTGGGATCAAAAATCTATCATTGCAAGATTTCAAGGTTCCGATGATGACAAAGACAATGAAGTGGTCATTGTTGGTGCGCATCAGGACTCAGTTAATATGTGGATGCCTAGTTTTGGCCGAGCTCCTGGAGGTAAATTTGCATAAAATTGTATTCGTATATATGTTGTTATCGAAGTTGCCACTTTATTAGTAGACTGAAGTTGCAATTACCAATTTTAAGGCTTAATTTCGGTCAGGTGCAACTTCAGTCAATTCCAGGTAACAAGTTCACAACATATACACCTGAAATTAGGATTCCCCAAAAATGGTCCTACTGAGATTTAAAGTATATATATAGTAATTTTAATCTCATTAGCCCCATTTTAACATCATGATATGGAATTCTACCTGAAATCTCTGGCCGACAATGTTTTGGAAATTTCATCGTGAAACTTTAATTACTTAATTTAGAGATTCATTAAAAGCCCCGTAATAATATATTAGGTCACCTGATTTTTAATTTACAATCATTATGAATTGCATCGCAAATTAAAAATGCTCTAAATTACGCAATAATCAAATTTTTATTACGTAATGAAATGGGAATATGTTAAAGAAATTCTCAAGACTTTGTCGTTTGCTGTACATTAACGTTCGTCTAATATGTTCGATTTTAAATCTGTTTTTTTTTTTTTTTAAGCTGATGATGATGGAAGTGGTACTGTTACAATTTTGGAAGCATTTCGTGCGCTAGCAGAGGGGCAATTTAGGCCTAGACGTTCTGTCGAATTCCACTGGTATTCAGCCGAAGAAGGTGGTCTTCTAGGATCTCAAGCAATTGCTTCGCATTATGAAGAATTGGAATTAGACGTAATTGCTATGTTGCAGGTGATTAAATAATGTTTTAATCATCCATATTGTATAATTATGAATCTAATTCATATATATGTTTTATATATGAATATTTAGAATGATATGACAGGTTACATAGGTAAAAAATACCCCGAAACATTTGGAATCGTCGTTGATTTCGTTGATCCGGATTTGACCGAGTTCATCAAGAAACTGATTAATTCATATGCGAAATTGCCTGCAAGAGATACAAAATGCGGGTGAGTATTGGATGCATGCTTTTTGTTTTTTTTTGGAAATATAAGTATCAATAATAATGTGAATTTCCTATTTATAGCTACGCTTGTTCTGATCATGCTTCGTGGAGAAAAGTTCGTATTTCATTTATTTTTATAGTAAAATTTGAACATTCGCAAATTTTATTACATTTTTTTGATATTTTTTATTTTGCCAATTTAAAGGCCGGTTACCCCTCCGCTTTTGCTATCGAAGGTGCATTTGATGACTCTAACCCGTATATCCACACTTCTAACGATGTTATAGAAAATCTTAGCTTTGACCATATGCTTGAATTTTCAAAGGTAACGATATATCTTTACTGATTTAGTAAACAATCAATATTCATCAACGTTAACAATGCCCATTTTCCCTTTTGCACTAACAGCTCTCTGTGAGTTTTGCCGTTGAGCTAAGTCACATTTAATCATATATGCCTTAGTTGTATAGATTATTATAAGTGATGTAAATTATCAACTGTTATTAAATAAATTGGGAGATTAACTTAAGCGATTTGCGTTTTGAGATATCGTTAACATGCCGAATATGTCATCATCTGATCATACTATGAGTGAATTTTGAATCTTGGTCGATATTTGCCTTGTTTTTTCTGATATCATTTTAATATTTATATCTGTGAATTATCACTTTGTGAATTTTTTTTTTTTGTTCATTATGCATGGAGGTTATTTCACGCATGATGAAACTATCATACTTTGGATTTCTTGTGACTTGCGTAAGAGAGTACGCGAGATAATCATTCGATTGAAAAAAAATTGTGATATATATAATTTATAAAAGTTAAATAAAATGGTTATTAAAACATAAGTATAAATAATTTTTTTCAAATTTTGACTCGGCCGGGCTATGAGAACCAATTAATTACAGCTGTTCTCATAAATTTTGGGACATCTGGTAA